TGCTAGGTGAACAGTGTACCAGGGTGAAAGAAACTCGGCCCATTTTGTTTCTGAAACTACCGGGGATGAAACCAGAGCTCTTAGGACTACGACCCCAGAACGCTGTTCATTCAGCCGCCAGGCCCCCTGCGAGAGGAGGGGGGGGGGGGGGAGGAAGGAAGGGAATTATCAGGGAAAGCGCCAAGCCATTACGACTATATAGCACTAGGAAAGGGGTCAGGTTAAGGATTTGGGATGGGACGGAGGAAGGAATGGTGCCCCAACCACTTGGATGGTCGGGAATTGAACGCCGACCTGCATGAAGCGAGACCATCGCTCTACCGTCCAGCCCAAGTGGTTGGTAAGGGGGGGGGGGCAGGGGCAGGTGAAACAACGTATTGCAATCACGGAAATATTTACAACAAGTGCTTGAGTTTGGTGGAAATAAATGCAAACTCTCATTGATCCAACACTCGTCGGAATTGCTTTCACCACAATAAATATTTTACCTTTCCAATAGAATCGTAAGAACGGATTAAAAAGCACATTTATTGTATGCAATAATGTTAATGGAATTAACATTAACATTGAAATGGGAATAAATTGTTTCTTGCAGCTTATTAGTATTTTAGTTATTTTGATATTGCCAATAACTTTGTTATCAAGTGGAAGTGACAAATTTATGAAATGAACCTTTTCACGGATTTCCCTGAACTCGTTCATGAAATATTTGATGCTATTTGCAACATTAACATGTGAGATGCATTGTCTATATATATATATATATATATATATATATATATATATATATATATATATATATATATATATATATATATATATATATGTGTGTGTGTGTGTGTATATCACGAAAATAAACACGTGATTAAGAATGTGACAATGTCAGACCACGGAGGAAAATGAAACAGGAATTTCCTTAAGTACTTTCGTATATTAAATACATCTTCAGAAGGAATCATCTTCATTCCTTCTGAAGATGTATTTAATAAACGAAAGTACTTAAGGAAATTCCTGTTTCATTTTCCTCCGTGGTCTGACATTGTCATATATATATATATATATATATATATATATATATATATATATATATATAACAGCAAAAAACAAATATGTTGAATGCACAAGATGATCTACACTTGCAATTCTTCATTGTTCGAAATAATGAAGAATTTGTGGTTGGTAAAATTTTAAATACCAATTTATTTTAAAATTCTCCCTTTTTAATAAAAATTAACTTATGGTCAAATTTCAGCAACTGGGTAATTAAATGGTAAAATGAGCGTGCCCAAACGTGTCGGTATCCGGCCTTGCGGGAGTGCAGGTCAACTGGTGATCGTTGCGCTGTTGAATGCCTTTATGTAAGCTCTCTGACTTTAGAATTCAGTATCTTCTACACACGTTTGCATATAGCCTCAGTTTATTTACAAATTCCAAGCAACACTGGGAGTTAGTCAACTGTTGTGGGTAGGTCAGTCGTTACCCAAAGGGGGAACTCAATATCCCAACAGGTTTAATCCCCCATCGACAATGTGAAATAAACCCCCATACCTTAGTCAGTTGGGAAAGTTTGAGTTTCAATTATCCAGTAAATTGCAACGCCAAACGATAATCATTCAGCTGGATTTGCCATTTCGCTCTCACGCTCTACGCGTTAAATAAGAAAACTTTGCAACCTTAATATCAACCTTGCAACTCTGCTATCCTTAACTGCTGATAACTAAAGACGGCGAAATATGAAGCATGTGTGATTCCGGAGCCAAAAACACAAGTTCAACAAAGTTATCAGCGTCGGAGCCACGAATCTATTTCATTCGCATTTCCTCTCGTGTTTACATTCAAATTCATGAGAAAATGTCAACAAGACTTCGTCTTGGACACGAGCCAGAACGAGATTTACATAATTTAATCCATTTTCACACGAGTACTGTAATACATTATGCAAGAATCGCGTGGGCTCAGTGAGGTTCATCCAGCAAGATCACGACTGATGATAGGCTATAAATATATTTGAAGGATTTGCACCACCCACTAACTCACAACTGACTATTTGCAACCTTTGTCAGCAGATCAATTCACGCACCTAACATAATTATGTGCTTATAAGTAAAATATTTCAAAAATTAGGGAATAGTTCTTTCGCAAATGATAATGTGTCGACTTATTTATATAAAAATATGAAAAAAATTCCTCATCACGTGTATTTAGCCTCGCCCCTTATAATTGGTTAGGCTCCTGGAGCCTTTGTGTGCCTCTCCAATTACGCTCAAAGGGGTGTGTTTGGGGATGGAAATTATCTAATCCATTTTCTGCGTGTTTCTCCGTGGGTTCCTGACAGCTGGGTGGACAGCGCTTCGGATTCGTAGTCCTGAGGTTCCGGGTTCGATCCCCGGTGGAGGCGGGGACAAATGGGCAAAATGTTTCTTTCACCCTGATGCCCCCGTTACCTAGCAGTAAATAGGTACCTGGGAGCTCCTTTGGATGCCTCGGGACCCCTAGAGGATTCAGTTGAATCTCAGGTTGCATTGATTTTGGCCACGTCGTGGTGAAGTGGTCTAAATCGTCTACCTAGAAGTACTCAGGATGCAGGTTCGAATCCTCCTCACGGCTCCTACTGGTTTTCCTCGAAGATACATCACGTTAATGTGATTTCTTTGTGTGCTACGATTGTAGTTTGAAGATGCATTATAGTAGAGTCTGATAAGTTTTAATGAGAGGATTTTAAGAAGTACTTGAAGGGGAAACTTATTTTAGTGACTACAGCCTTGTACTATGTATCACCATGAGGCCTCGTGTCCGTATTAAGTGTGCATTAATTAACCAATACAGACTAAGCCGCCAATATCGATATTTATGTCTCGTAAATGAGCACATAGGTGGTCTGGGAATCCTGAACAGAGATCTATATCCGTTCCCAGTCAAAATTAACAAATTCTTTATGGAACAAAGTCATGAGTGATACCAAAAGTAAATTACACACTGCTTTTCCAAATATACTTATATACGTTATATTCCTGGGCAATATAACGAAGATATTGATATATATATTTTTTTTTGCAGGGATATTCCTGCGCGGGCTCTAAGCCTCTGGCTGGCCCACTGGGCGGGCCCTAAGCCTCTGGCTGGCCCACTGGGCGGGCCCTAAGCCTCTGGCTGGCCCACTGGGCGGGCCCTAAGCCTCTGGCTGGCCCACTGGGCGGGCCCTAAGCCTCTGGCTGGCCCACTGGGCGGGCCCTAAGCCTCTGGCTGGCCCACTAAGTGTTGCTTGTTTCTGTTTTACTTGGGCGGAGTATGAGTATTTATGACAAGATATTGATGTGCACGTATTCAAATACTTGTCTCTTACTTTGTTCATTCCAGTAAGTTTACCTCGTATCTACATCACGTATGTAGATACCTAAGTGTTTGTATCGTTTCGAAACCAGTAGGCCTAAGTGCCTATATCCGTGTTCAAACCTGACCCATATTTTAAGCTGTAGGTTTACATATATCTTTGACTATGTTTGACTCTGTACCGGTTTCTATACATTACCAGTAATAAGAATTAGTTTTGTCGGTGACAGGAAGCCTGTATATATATATATATATATATATATATATATATATATATATATATATATATATATATATATATATATATATATATTAATATTAATACTATATTCCTGTATCAAGGTTCTCCCAAGGTCAAACTTCTGACCCTCCCTAGGATGCAATCCCACAAAAGTTGCCTAACTCTAGGGTACTGATTTACTACTAGGTGAACAAAGGCATATGATGGAAGCAAAGTTGCCCAATCATTTCTGTCATGCCCTGGACTCTAACCTGGGATCTGCTGCTTGTGAGTCAAGGACGAAACCCACTGTACTACTAGACCAATACAGTGACCACCTCCATCTCAACTCCTGTACCCAATATTGTAACACGTTCATCATATATGAACATATTCGCCTGGGAGGATTGACTGGGCGAAATCCTTAACTTTTTTTGTGATATATACAAGAGTTGTTACATTCTTGTACAGTCACTAGTACGCGTAGCGTTTCAGGCATGTCCCTGGAATACGATCTGTAGCCTCTGTTTAACAGTATAAAATGGGTACCAGGTTGTTAAACGATTCTTCGCGGGGGTCGTATTCCAGGGAACATAGGATGAAGGACTTGCCCGAAACGCTACGCGTACTAGTGGCTGTACAAGAATGTAACAACTCTTGTATATATAAAATAAATAAATATATATGTGATGTGAATAATTCTAACTGGTTACAAGAGCGAAGAAGTCATCAAGATCATGTTGTTCTCGCTAAATTTTCACGAAACCGACGTTACGTTTACGAGGCTGCGAGCAATTACGAGCTTCAAGCTACGCCGAAGAGCTTCGCTGACCATTCGATTTGTATAAATCTCTTCCAAAGTCTCCTGACACCATTGCCTTGTTATAGTAGCTAAATAAAATGGTCTACCTACTCATAATAAGTAAAAGAAAGACAACGCTTCTTGAAATTGCTTTAAAGTAAGAATTATATCGTTAGAACGAGTCGGTAACTATTTATATCAAAGATAATCTTGATGCAAGTTTTATCTACGCTAAGAGCATCAATTAAACACAAGTGTACGACCATATGCATCAATTAAAAAAAAACGCGTTAACCTGCTTAAGTTTGGCATTAGTTATGTAGCCTATCAACCGAGGGAAGGATATTAAGACAATTATTGACCAACCAGCAAGTATTCTTTTGTTTTGAACACCGTTCAATACCTAATTCAATTGACAATGTATATATATACACCGAGAAGCAGAAATTTTGACGATAAAAGGCTTAAGTTTGGCATTAATTTTGAAGCCTATCAACCGAGGGAAGGTTATTAAGACAATTACTGACCAACCAGCAGGTATTCTTTTGTTTTGAATACCTAATTCAATTGGCAATGTATATATATATATACACCGAGAAGCCGAAATTTAGACGATAAAAGGATTGTGGACGATAAAAGTTTATTTACCTTGGGAGCGAAGCGGAGAGAGAGTCGACACAAGGAACTGTTCCACTTTGCAGGGTGACGCAAGCACTCTCTCTGGCCGCGGTTGGTGCCACACTGAGGCTCCTCCCACCCGTGCAGTGCCACGAGTCAGCAGAGTGCCAGAGCTTGGCAGAGGGCCATATGGCTCGCCCGTAGTCCGCACTAATTATCACCAACAGCCTCTCGTTGCCCGGGTAACATCACGCCTTGCTCAGGAGAACATAACAAGTTAATCAGTGTCTTTGTCTTAATGGTATGTGATGGTGTCCAGCCACTTGAGGAGGACGGTAGAGCGACGCGGTCTCGCATCATGCAGGTCGGCGTTCAATCCCTGACCGTCCAAAGTGGTTGAGTACCAATCCTTCCCTCCCATCCCATCTCAAATCCTTATCCGGTGCTCTATATAGTCGTAATGGCTTGGCGCTTTCCCCTGATAGTGCCCTGTGTATCTATATCACACACATACACACAAGTGTAGATATGATAGATAGTGTAGATAGGTAGATATGAAACTGTAATAGATATCAGTTTCAAGTGTAGATATGATAAAGCCTAATAGGCTCAGGAACCTGCACACCAGTTGATTGAGAGTTGAGAGGCGGGACCAAAGAGCCAAAGCTCAACCCCCGCAAGCCCAAATAGGTGAGTACACACACGCGCACACACACACACACACTCGGGGGCCTCACGGCTGAGTGGACAGCGCTCGGGGGTCGTAGTCCGAATGACTCGGGTTCGATTCCCGACGGAAGCGGAAACAAATGGGCCGAGTTTCTTTCACCCTGATGCCCCTGTTCACCTAGCAGTAAATAGGTACCTGGTAGTTAGACAGCTACTTCGGGCTGCTTCCTGGGGATGTGTGTGCTCGCGCGCATGTTAGAGAAATATATGTAGTAAACATACGGGAAAAATAGATTGGCTAGAAAGGTGGGGTCCAAGAGCTAAATAGCTCGATTCTGCAGACACAAATAGTAAATATATACACACTATACTAAACCTGTGTTGTTAAAGATTCGCTACCTAGAACAAAGTTCCAAGTAGCACGGGCTATGGTGAGCCCGTAAATGTATATTTATATACTAAACCTGTGAGGGGAAATCAGACCTGAGGAGGACTGCAATACGTTACAAAATGAGCTAGACTTTCTCCAGACATTCTCAGAGAAATGGCTCCTTGACCTTCAACCTTGACAAATGCCAGGTTATGAGGACAGAAGTTGGAGCAAGACGCCTCAAATACTACAGCACAGGAATGAAGAGAAGTGAACTTTCAAGTTCTGAGAGAGTGAACTTGGACTTGGAGACTGGACCACACTTGGGAGTGGACATAACTTGGAGGTCCAACACCAGAGGCACACATCAGCAACATAACGAGGGAGGCCTATTTGGCCTCATAAACATACCATAACAACATAACACATAAGCAGCATAGCGAGGGCAACATACTGGCAAACGTTCAGTTATCCTTCAGCAACTTAGATGAAGTTCCTTTCTGAGCGGTGTAAGCACCCTTTGTGAGACTTATTATTGAGTATGCTGTCCCGGCATGGAACCCCCCGAGTGAAACACAAAACACAAATATAAAAAGTCCCAAAAATATGCAAGAAGGGTCATTCCTGAGCTAAAGGGACTGAGCTATGAAGAAAGATTGCAGGTAACTGGACCTCTCTAGACTGAAGGAAAGAAGGAATAGGGCAGACATGATAACGATGTACAAAATACTAATGGGATTGACAAATTAGATATAGAAAGAATATTCAAATCAAGGAATAGTAGAACGAGACTACGTAATTGTAAATTGGAAACAGTCACAGGGACGTAGGAAAAAATATATCAGTCTTAGAATAGTAAATAAGTTAAACGGATTAGGTGAAAAAGTTGTCAACCCAATTCGATACACAACTTTATATGTAAATATGATAAGAAAATGGGTGATGAAGAGTCACTGCTAGAAACTACTGATAGTCGAAAGGCGAGGCTTAGGAGCTGATGCTCGACCCTGTAAGCTCACCTAGGTGAGTACACACACACACACACACACACACACACACACACACACACACACACACACACACACACACACACACACACACACACACACACACACAATGGAATGCATTAGGGGGTGATGTGGTGGAGGCTGACTCCATACACAGTTTCAAGTGTAGATATGACAGAGCCCGATAGGCTCAGGAATCTGTACACCTGTTGATTGACGGTTGAGAGGCGGGACCAAAGAGCCAGAGCTCAACCCCCGTAAACACAACTAGGTGAGTTCACACACAACACACACAGGAGGCACTGAACTACAGGCCAGTGTCCCTAATTGCATACCATGCAAGCTGATGAAGATTGTGCGAAAAAAGGTAGTGGAACATCTGGAGCGAAGGAACTTTGTAACACAGCATCAATATGGGTTCAGGGATGGAAAGTCCTGCCTCACAGGATTAATTAAATTTTAGGACCAGGCAATAAAAATCAGGCAAGAAAGAGAGGAGTAGGCAGACTGCATATTTTTGGGTTACCAGAAAAACTTACCTTGGAGTTTTTCCGGGGCTTAGCGTCCCCGCGGCCCGGTCGTCGACTAGGCCTCCTCGTTGCTGGACTGGTCAACCAGGCTGTTTGACGCGGCTGCTCGCAGCCTGACGTATGAATCACAGCCTGGTTGACCAGGTATCCTTTGAAGGTGCTTATCCAGTTCTCTCTTGAACACTGAGTGGTCGGCCAGTTATGTCCCTTATGTGTAGTGGAAGCGTGTTGAACAGTCTCGGGCCTCTGATGTTGATAAGAGTTCTCTCTCAGAGTACCTGTTGCACCTCTGCTTTTCAACGGGGGTATTCTGCACATCCTGCCATGCCTCCTGGTCTAATGCGGTGTTTGGCCTTTGACCCAGTACCACACAAAAGGCTAGTGAAAAAGCCGGATATGCAGGCTGGAATGAAAGGGAAGGTGCTCCATTGGATAAGGGAGTACCTAAGCAACAGAAGACAGCGAGTCACTGACGGGTGAGGTCTCAGATTGGCGAGATGTCACCAGTGGAGTACCGCAGGGGTCAGTCCTTGGACCTATACTGTTTCTGATATATGTAAATGATCTCCCAGAGGGTATAGAAGCGTTCCTATCATTGCTTGCTGACGATGCAAAAACTATGAGGAGGATTAAAACAGAGGAAGATAGTAGGAGGCTACAAGATGATCTAGACAGACTGAGTGAAATGGTCCAACAAATGGCTACTAAAGTTTAACCTGAGTAAATGCAAAGTAATTAAACTAGGCGGTGGAAACTGGAGGCTAGACAAAGGATACAGAATAGGAGATGAAGTATTTCATGAAACGGACAGAGAGAAAGATATAGTAGTTAATATCACACCAAACCTGTCTCCTGAAGCCCACATAAAAATAATTACATCTGCAGCATACGCGAGGCTGGCTAACATCAGGACAGCCTTCAGGAACCTGTGTAAGGAATCATTCAGAACCTTGTATACCACATATGTAAGACAAGTATGAGTATGGGGCCTCATACTCCTGGAGTATGAGGCCCCAGCATGGAGCCCGTACCTTGTCAAGCACAAGACGAAGCTGGAAAAAGTCAGAGGTATGCCACTAGGCTAGTCCCAGAACTAAGAGGCATGAGTTACGAGGAAAGGCTGCGTGAAATGCACCTCACGACACTGGTAGACAAGAGCAAGGGGAGACATGATCACCATCTACAAAATTCTCAGGAATTAACAGGGTTGATAACGATAAACTATTCAACACTGGCGGGACGCGAACAAGGGGACACAGGTGGAAACTGAGTACCCAAATGAGCCACAGGGACGTTAGAAAGAACTTTTTCAGTATCAGAGTAGTTAACAAGTGGAATGCATTAAGCATTTAGGAATACACAGTTTCAAATGTAGATATGATAGAGCCCAGTAGGCTAAGGGATCTGTACACCAGTTGAAAGCGGTTGAAAGGCGGGACCAAAGAGCCAGAGCTCAACCCCCGCATGCACAACTAGGTGAGTACACACACCCTCAAAGATCCCTTTAAGATACCTTTGAAACTAAAAATTTAAAAAAGAACAAACATTAACATTTAATGACACACACTTCTGACTACGATAATGTGCAGCAAGAAAAAAAATCATATCTGGTAACATTAAATATAATGTTAAAACAATAAAGTATGAGAAGATAACGGCAAATCACCCGGCTAGTGTGACTGTAAACATTAAGATAAACTCATGGGACGCTGAAACAGCTTTAACAAGAGGACACAGGTGTAAGCTGGAAACGCAAACGAGGCTTAGGAAAACAAGGAAATACTCGCACCTTGTTCAGGGAGTCAACAAGTGGAATGCGCTGATGGATGAAGTTGTGAAAGCCTTCCTTCCTTCCCCCCCCCCCCCCTCGTTCCACCACTTTATAGCCTGGTTCGACAGAGACTTCACACATGATGAGGGTTCGAACCTATGTGTTGGGTATACAACCCGTCCTCGACTCAAGTCCATTACATCCAGCGGTCGTCCCCACAGACGCATTCATAAATTTTAACATGCTGTTCATTCAAAACAAGAATTTTCTCAAATATAAATTAATATTATAATATATTAGCATATTGTGCATATATAGGCATAAGTTAGGTTAGGTTAGGTTAGGTATTTAGGTTCGGTTGGCGATTATTTGCATTTGTAGTACGTGGGTGAAGCATTTATAGCGACGTGGTTCGAACAAAACTCGTCAGTGAAGCACTTGTTCCGGAAGTGTTCGAACGAAATCAGTTGTGAGTCGTGTGTAAACCGTTTTCACTCATAAACAGGGGGTTTGGCGGGTGCATGGAATCACTTTTGGGTCTTTGTTTGGAGGACGGGCTGTGGGTATACCAACCCGTCCTCCAAACAAAGTCCCAAAAGTGATTCCATCCACCCGCCAAACCCCCAGCTGTTTATGAATGAAAAACGGTTTACACACGACTCACACCTGATTTCGTTCGAACACTTCCGGAACAAGTGCTTCAATGACGAATTTTGTTTGAACCACAACGTTGTAAAGGCTTCACCCACGTATTACACAGCCCGTCCTCCAAACAAAG